TTGAATAAGAATCTCTCACTTTATTCTCTGTTATGGAAATAAAGTTTAATTTTAAATAATATGGTATTTTGTAAAACTTAAAAAATACTCATAATTAATTACAGGTTATTAATAGGTACAGAAGCACTTATTTACTATTGTTTACTATGTTTAACCGATTGCTTGATTTTACAATTTTTGAATGTATGATAATACACTGAAATTGGTATGATGATGCGATTGTATTCCTTTGATACATGTTTTGCTTGTTTTATGTGATTACGGTTGAATTAAGAAACTGAAAATTAAAGGTAAACGAGAAATTATTTGATTAAGTGAATTGATAAAACGGTAGTCTTACTGGATATCCTGCGAGATGGTAGACGGACTGGGTATATAGGGAACCCTACCGTGAACGTGTCTCATACCAGACGGGGTATGGAGACTTGGTAACTTGGCGCTCATACCAGACGTGGTGTAAGGACAACCTGTTTCACCCTCATACTGGACGGGGTATTGAGAAATGATATCTTTTAGCACTCATATCGGACGGGATATGGAGACGGCCCGTTAATTGAAAATATAAAAAAGAAGATTCACGCGTAGTGGGAACATCTTTATGGACCCTTATGGATTTTATGAGGCTGATAAAATGGAAGGTTGTTATTCCGACTCATTGTACATGATATTATGATATGTATTATGTTATTGACTCTATAAGTTATTTTTTATAATCTCGTTACAGTAAATATGCAGTAAATGATTTTATTTACAACAAACGAATTTATTTAAATTAAGATATCCATTAATTATTTTTAAGATTTCTATCAACCTTCATTTCTGTGTCGAGGAGTAGTGTGATATTCTTACTAGACTAGTATAGTTTACTCTTTCATTAACTGTAACGCCCACTAATTTTATAATTTTTATTATTATTATTATTAATTTTTTTATTTATTTTATAATTTTTGAATTTTAATTGATTTATTTAATTTAATTTAATTTAATTTAATAAAAATAAAATAATAATAATGATA